TGCACCTAGGGATTGGGCCTGCCCTCTGCCACCTGGGAGCAGGCCTAAGCCAGCAGATCGTTATCTCCCGAGGGGTCCCAGACTTCGAGAGGGCACAGGCCGGGTTGAGGGACCCCCCCACCCCACCAGAGTGCACAAATTTTTGTGCACCGGGCCTCTAGTAGTATAATATAAATGGTGTAACAGAGAATACAGACCACTGAGCTAGAAAGTAAGAGACCTGACAGTGTGACCCAGACAGATCCTATCTCTGGATTCAGGCATCAAGTCAGGATGTGAAATTAGGCTCTCCAAAATCCTTTCCAACTCTAACATGGTATGACCTGAATTAATGTCGATCAAAATTTAAAAAAGGACCTCAACTCTCAGGCCCAAGTTCCTGGTTTCTTTCGGTCAAAAAAAAAAAAAAAAAAGACATTTTCTTCCCTAGTTTATTTCTGTAGAAAAGGTATCCTAAAGGGGTTGCACCACTTAATGCTAAAAAACCGAGGAGGAAAAAAAAACAAGGATTACAGCTAACCCCAATGAATTTCTAGGCATATTCCCTATGCAGTCACTTTCATACCATGTTAGGGTGGCTTCAGCAGCATCCTTTACCCTCATAGAAGCAGGGTTTGGCTCCTTATCTCCTTTGTACTTGACTTCTTGCTCACTGCTCTTGGACTTACTTCCCGAAATACCCAGTTCCACAATCTCCAGTACTTCCTTAAGACAGTCCTAGAAGCAGGAAAGGCAAATCAGTTTTTATAATACACTTATCTTATAAGACAAGGAAACACATCAAATGTTAATAGTGGTTGTGTTCTGATAGTGGGGCTCTAGTTTCTTTCTCATTTTCTTTAATAGGTATATATAAATTTCATAATAATAAACTCCCCCCAATTTTTTAAAAGAAATAAATTTGAGTGTTCAGAGAGTTAGATAACAAGTAACGATAAATTCAATTCAATTTTATTAGTCATAGTTCTTACAAAACTACCTCAGACTATAAATCATGAAAGACCAAATGAAAGAAATGTAACTGTAATCTACTAAACCTGGATGGTTTAAAACATGCGAGGTTATCCAAAGGGAAGTTCATCAATTATTGACAGTTTTTACCAATTTCTGGTATCATAACTTTAGAAGCCTT